TCAAGGTCATGCATATGACCGCCAATATAAGCAGATACGTTATATTTTTTAAAAAGTGGTGGAAATTTGTACATTAAATAAGATGATGGGTGTTTTGTTTGGCATGCACCAATAAGGGGATGATGGCCAACAACGAAAATCCAATCTGCGTCCTGAGCGGCAATCAGTTGATCTTCTATCCATTTTAATCGATTTTTTACTTTTGATTTATGATTTAGATTGAGGGCTAAGAGATTGCGTTTCATGTCATCTTTTTCGGCATACGTTTTATATTTGTAGTAAAATGGGTTAGTGTCTATGTGAATAAAAACCGCCAAATTATTGTTGTTTGGTCCAAAATAAACCCTTCGAACGTAATAAAGTGAGGGAAGAAAAAATCGTATGTTTTTTTTTCCAAAAGTAATCTCCTTGTGCGGTTACGTTGGTAAACCAATCATGATTTCCTGCCACCACGTACCAATATATTTGCTTCAATCTGCCTTTATATACGTTTAACCAATAGGTATGCCATTTTGGATCATCTATACTCAATACACCTTCGTGGTCTTTTGGATCATTGAACGGAAGATTAGTGTTTTTTTGATAATAATTATCTAATAATAAAAAAGGTAGGTTATTTTTTCGATGAAAATATTGTATAACCGATTAAACTCTAAAACTTACCACCAACATTAACTATAAATAATGTATTTTCATTAGCCCAGGCTTGTAAAGCTTCGGCTACTTGAAATTGTCTTGACTCACGTCTTTGTTCTCCCCAATCTCCAAAAGCAAGAAAATCAAGCCCTTTATTCTCATAATATTCTTCAAAAGGAACTGGATATGGTTTACCAACATTATGACTTTTCGGTCTCGAAAATTTGTCCGAGCCTCTTATTGGTGCTCTATAAATATAAAAGCTATCGCAACCATTTATAAGAAAGCACACTTGAACTAAAACAATGAAAATTTCTATACATTTCATTCTTTTATAGTTGCTGCTAGAAAAAAAAAAGAAGAAAAAACAATTCTCTTTTAAAATTACATACAACATACCCGACATAAATATATGTCTTCTTAAATGCCATAAATATACGCCATTATGATGTAACACTACCAATGCTTCTTTTGAGAAGAGTGGATTATTCAGTTGCTCTAACCAAACTGGGTAGTTCAGGCTCCAGGTGATGTCTTCTGATAAAACAAATATATAAACATATATTACATAATCTCACTTCCAATTGTTAAAAATTTCATTTTAAGTAAAAATTTAAGGTCGTCATGAATTCGTACGTACAGTACGTACATACATACATGTCTCATTATTGTTCGCACGTGAAGAATTATGTAACAACTAATGTAACAACTCATGTAAAGCGACTGTCGTTCATGGTGATGCAAACGGGTTGAGCCGAGCGCAAATCAAAAGACCAAGGTTGAGCAGTTAACTTTAATAACTCAGCTACAAGTCTAACAATAAAGTACCGGCTCTAAAATGACTTGTCTCAAAACAAGTGATGTGGTAGAAACTTTAAGCATCGGGATAAGCCGAACAAACTAAATTATAGCTCATTGTAACTTTTCGGTTTTTACAGCTGTTTTCATAAATTCTAAAAAAATTTCTGATGACCGAATCGATAAGTTACCGGAATCAACAAGTTACTGACGTCGAGTCGACATCATAAACTTATCGATTCGGTCATAGGCAATTTTTCAAATGTCCCAGAATTTATGAAAACAGCTGTAAATTACTACATACTGTGAAATGTATCTATGCTTGGATTGTTGCAACATATCGATATAGCCATGCCATGCCGAAACTATTTTAGGAGCTGTAGCTCAACTTATATTCCGTATAATTTCAGTAACGGTAAGATTTATTGAAAGATTTATTGAAAAATTTATTGAAAAATTTAGAATTCCTGAATTCTTGAAATGCCTGATAAAAAAATTAGCCGAATGAATTTTCGATCAATTCGATTAAGTTATAACTAGGGTTGTGTTACATAAATTACAATTTTACATTACACGTATTTTACGTAAGTTTCAGAAAATTTCATGAAACTCCAGATTTATAAAATTTCGGATTATTTGATTTGAATGTACGATCCGAATTGTCTAAAACTCTCTAAAACTCCGAAAATTTGATCTTAGAAACTAAATTTCATGTGTTCAAAATTACAAAATAC